TGTTGGCCTCCGAACTCAGACCTCTCATCTGTCTTGCCTGTCACTTCCAGAGTGGCCTTGCCACAGCATGAATACTATCCCCTCACAACTTTCCCCAGAAACTTTATGGCTCACCGGTACCTTTCAGGATGAAATCTCATCTCATTATAAAATTTAAAGGCTTTCTAAAACACAACTTTCTCTTCCCTATAAAGCCTCATCTCCAATCACCTCCTCTCTTCCCTGTAAAGCCTGCATGTGTCCACAGGCACGCACACAGCCCTGGACATCCTGCCCCTCCCCGTCCCCACTAATACCATCACTTTCCCTGCCAGGCCCACCCAGCCCCCCTTATCTTTGAATAAGCAGCAGGCGTCACCTGGCTCCCGGCCCTGCTCAGAGCCCACCCCTTCAGAATTCCCTGCCATGAGAAAGCCTATGTATTTCACTTATGGTTGTTGGGGGTTTTGTTGCTTTTGGAGTTTAAGGTTTTTTGGTACTATTTCCCTTTTGTGGTGCTATTCATTAGTCACCTATGTGTTAGCATTATTGTGGGTGTGTCTGTTTGATTTTTGTGACCAGTCACTCAGGAACTATTGATTTGAGCACATTTACCAAACACTAGGCTACAGAGCTAAATAAAACGAGACTTGCAGGTTAGTAGAGAAAAGCAAATAAGACTAGTGTTATTAGGTTGGGAGCTGGGGGAGGGGACTGGCAGGGCCTGAGCAGGGCAGCACACACACATTATTGTCCGCCACATCCCTCGTGTGAGCCCCCTGCACAGCTCCTTGCATTTAGTATCTGCTCCATGAATGTCTTTTTGAGTTGAACTGAATAAAAAGAGGAGACTTTAGAGAGCAAACAGGGCAAGGGGCCAGGCTGAAGGGGACAGGGAGGGGGAACTAGAGGAGGCTCCCCCTCTGAAAGCATGTGCTGGCAGAGGTGGTGTTAGGAGTTTGGGGCCCATCCTCGGGGGCCTTGTTCCAGAGTCCTGAGCAACCAATTCTGCCCACTCCTTGGAAATAAGGACACTTGTTGGGAGGAGGGTTCTTGACAGAAGTCTACTGCTCAACCCTAAGGATTGGGGTTTCTCTAATTCAAAATAGAAAAGGAAAAGGGGGGTCTATATTTGCCTTTTTGGTTTTTTTTGGGGCAAGGTAAAGGAAACATATACAGTTTATTTCATGGTGGGTTTTTTGCCATATTTCTCAGATTTTCAGTTGGCTAATTCAAGGAACAAATTCTTATTTGAAAGCTACTTCTGTTGATTTTGGGAGGTCTGGGGGTTAAGCAACCTTTTTATAGCAGTATGCCTTTCTTGGTTTCGATTGGGATACTTTAAAACTCTTAAGTGTGGAATGTGCCTTTCAGATCAGGGCTTGGTGTCAGGCCCTGACAGGTACACATTTGGCTGGGTCCTTTCCTAGATCTCAGGTTCTTGCTCACCAGTGAGGGTGATGAGAAAACAGAGCTCCTCTGTACACTCTTTGGTCTCACATTGTTTGAGGATGGAACATTCTGGTTACTTCAGTAAGAGTCTGTCCACTTACCTCATGGTTCCACTTGGCACACCTCCACCATCCAGAATATGGTCACAGTCCTGAAAGTAAGCAGACAATGCCTCTAAAAGGTGGGTCTGGGATCACAAAGCTCATGCATCCATTTAATCAACATATGTATTAAGTGGCTACTCTGTGCCAGCAACTGGGCTGGCAAGGGGAGGAGTCCCCTCAAAGACTATATGGTGAAGAGCCTAGCAGTTGTTCCCTGAAGGCCTATTACCCAAAACGACTACCCTTTTGCAAATAAATCTAGCAAGACTTAGTTTATTCACTTTTCTAGCCTACAGCCAATTAGCAGTAGTAAATAGAGGATATATGGGGATGATTGGTGACTGTAGACACAGAAATGAGTAGGCAGGAATGGAGGAGGAAGACAAGGAATCATATACAGAGATGCCAGAATGGCAATTACTACAGTCTGAGCAAGCCAGTTGATGTGAGGCTGAGACCTAGTGAATTTCAGTAGCCCTGAGGACATCATTACCTAACACACTCCAGTAGTTGATGTTCCTGGTAATAACTCTAAATCATTCTAGAAGAAATGGATGGTTATTGTGCTTAAGGCACAAACAGCTATAATACCTTTTCCTTCCCTCCCTCCCTCTTTCCTTCCTTCCTTTCTTCTTTCCTTCCTTCTCTCTCTCTCTCTTTCTGTTTTAAGATTTCCATCTTAACCATCCAAGTGGTTAAAATGTGTTTCTGCTTGGAAACAAGTCACATTTATCCGAGAAATTACTTACATGGAAGGGCTTATTCCTCAACAAAACCATGCACATGAAACATAACTCTTGTTTAATCAAATCACTGTCATACATACAATCAAGAATGAGGAATTGTCAAAGGATAGAATGCAACCACTCTGAATATTCTGTGAATATAATTCAATCATTGGAAGTCTCTAAGGATTGCTCTAAAATTGATTTTCAGTGATTATCCATTTATGAAAACCATACCATTTATAATAATCAAAGAACAGTTTGATAGAGCACACAGGTTACGGGGAAGTGGCCCGCCGGCTGCAGATGACAAGAGGTTTTGCTGCCACAGATGTGGGTGGGATAGTGTGAGCTGTAACTGACCATCTCCATCACACTAAGCCGTTCTGCCAGGGAAGCAGGATCTGTTATTTATTTGATAGCCAACAACTGCTTGGAACCAGGTGTCAGCAAACTTTTCCATGAAAAGCCAGAGAGTAAATATCTAGGGCTAGCTACTCAACTCTTGCCATTGTAGTACAAAGGCAGCCAGAGACAATATATAATCAAGTGATGCGGCTGTGGTGCAACAAAACATTATTGGTGTTAAGCTTAAATAGTAATTGTGGAACATAGGTAATATAAATATAAATCTGTATGGCAGGAGGAAAAACCAAAAGAATGCTTGCAACTGGAGGTTGTCAGAATGTTGAGCTTCAATCAGCTTTTGAATCATTGCAGGATATCAGCTTTTCTTTTGTTTGGTTTTCCTTGAATAGAGCTTGTAATTTTAGAATTTGCTGGGCACAGGTCAGGTCCCAGACATGCTGATCTCTGATCTTCTACTGTCCTGTTTGGTGCTTCAGAAGGTGGGCCTGCATCTTTTAATGCATTTAGGTTGTCTCTGGCAGGACAACTTGCCACTGTCCTCTGGAGAGCACAGGATTGCTCTCTTAGAAAAATTTGTTTGATGGACCATCAGAAACCAAGACTTTTTCTCTACTTGAGATGGTCATTCTATCTCTATGCGTCATGACTTCTTGTTCCCTAACACAGTGATAGTGACTGTATTTGTTGAGTCGATGTTCCTTTGGTCAAATATGTGATACACATTTAACTGCCCTTCAGCCATTAGTTCTCTGCCACCTTGGGAGGAGTGGGCCTGTCCTTATTCTTCCTTACTGTTCTGCACAGCTTTCGACTCTAGAATGTCTGTCGTTTTGAATAGTAGTTACTAGTCTGCCCTCCTAGATTTTGGGACATGTCCTTACTATTCATAACAATACTGTATTCAATCCAGATGCTTGGTTTCTTTGCTGGAGGTGAGGGCAGTAGAGGAAGAGGAAAAATTAGAAAGTCAAGGTAAGGATAGAGAATCCAATACAACCATTGAAAGCCTGCCTTTGCCCTTCAGAGCCATAGTCTTCAGGAAGCACACATGGCCAGTGCTGCTTTTGAGTGATTTCTTCTGTTGTGTAGTTACCTGAGTTCTCAAAAGACGGAGGTGTTCTTACCTATGTCATAGCCTGTGGTATAGGTGGCTTTTCCATGGCACCTACATCTGGTAGGGAACTTGAGCCATCACAATTTCTAACTGAGAAACCTGGTTGGTGATGCAACAGCCCAGAGAGGTTAAGATAAAGAAGAAGAGAAGGGAAATCTATGCTTTCTGTGTCTTGTAGCACATGCTGTGGATAGACATTAGTCATCGATTCTTGGTTATTTCATTGCTGTCTCCAGAAACTTGAATTCCAGCTTCTAGAGAGAAAGGGTGCTTTGCTCAGCACTTGTTTCTGAAGGCATGGTTGTGTTTTTTAGAATACATGTGCATAGTCTGTAAGGTGTACAGAGTGTTAGGATCTATATCATTCATTGCAAGCACCTCCACCAGTTCCCTCAACCCTCATATCAGCAATCCTTGGAGGAGGTGTCCAGGGCTGGAATGTAGGTGTTTTCACAGGTGAGGAAACAAAGGCACATGAAGCACCCCACAGCCAGGTGGGGTTAAAGGATGTAGGAAAACATCCTTTAGCTCCCTCCCCTTCTCTCTGCCTCTCCTTGCCTCTTAAGTCAAAATTTGAACATATCTATTGAGGCATTGTTTACCCAGTAGATCTAGGAGACCTAGGTTCTAGTACCACCTCTAAATTGGCAGGCTGGGCCAGGCACAGTGGCTCATGCCTGTAATCCCAACACTTTGGGAGGCCAAGATAGGCTGATGACTTGAGCTCAGGAGTTTGAGATCAGCCTGGGTAACATGGTGAAACTCCATCTCTACAAAAAAGTATAAAAATTAGCCAGGCATGCTAATGCATGCCAGTAGTTCCAGGTACTTAGGAGGTTGGGGTGGGAGGATCACTTGAGCCTCAGGTGTGAGGTCGAGGCTACACTGACCCAAGATTGTGCCATTGTACTCCAGCCTGAGTGACAGAGTGAGACCCTGCCCCGTCTCAAAAAAAAAAAAAAAAGATAAATTGGCAGCCTGTGTCTGCTGCTGCTGCTCTAGCTGACCTTGGGCAAGGCATTTACCCTTTAGAGTTTCACTTTTTATTATCTGTCACGTGAAGGTCCTCTTTCAACAAGACTAAATTAACTCTCAGAAACAGGGAAGAACTCACATTTTAAATGAGCACGGTGTTTAGGTGGCTTTGCACATAGAGGTTTACAGGTAGGTAATCACAACTCACTTTGGGCGTGATTTTGTCAAACCTCCTTGATGACAAGACAACACCAAGTTTCTGGGTTCTTTCCTCTCTTTCAGATGCCAGTATGGACAGAATAGCTTATGATGCTTATCCCCACCCACCACTTCCGAAACATTGAGCGGAAACCAGAATACCTCCAGCCGGAGAAGTGTGTCCCACCTCCCTACCCTGGTCCTGTGGGAACCATGTGGTTTATCCGTGACGGCTGTGGCATCGCCTGTGCCATCGTTACCTGGTTTCTGGTCCTCTATGCGGAGTTTGTGGTCCTCTTTGTCATGCTGATTCCATCTCGAGACTACGTGTATAGCATCATCAACGGAATTGTGTTCAACCTGCTGGCCTTCTTGGCCCTGGCCTCCCACTGCCGGGCCATGCTGACGGACCCCGTGAGTATGTCTGGGCTTGTTTTGACCAGCCCACACTCTCCTCCTCTGGCCCTGGCATGGCCATAGCCTGCATGCTCCCCCTGGACCTTGGGAATTTTGAGAACAGGAGGGCCAGGGGAGGGTGAGTAAGTGGACCTCTGCCTTGTTCAGAGTTCCATGGAATTCTGGCTAGGGAAGAGGGGTCAACACCTGTACCACAGGCTATCTGTCTTGGTTAAATGATACTATATGTACATGGATATATACATTTATTGGGCCTGCTGTAGGAGGGGTTTGGTCTAGGGGAAACCTGGCCTCTGGTTAAAAAGACACAGATAACCTTGACGACTGGGGCCAGATAATCAGAGCAGAAAGCATGCCTGAGGGTTGGGTCAAGATGGGGCTGGAACTAGGTGGATGTGAAATTAAAGCCACATCCAATTCCAGGAATCTGCACGGAAATGGCCTTCACTTTACTTGGGCGAGGTGTATCTTTTCCTCAAAAGCTGAACAAGCCTGTTTCAGGCCGCAGCGAGTGCTCTTGGTGAATATCTGTGGGTCAAGCAGTAGTGTTCTGCTCAGTGACTTAACTAAATATACCAAGCTACACATGTGTATACTGAATATTTGTGCACCCTGGTATTAAACCCGCTCTTCTGTTCCTTCTCTTGTATGGGAAAAGCAAGAGAATACATTATTTGATAAAGACCTACTGTGGCTTGTTTCTGTATGTGGGATGTGTGTGTGCAAATTAAGAGAGGGAAAGCACTGCTACTAGCAGTGACACTGGCCATACAGGTTTTGTTTCTGTGAGCCCCAGGGAAAGTGCGGTGATGAGGATGATGATGATGATGATGATGATGACAGGCCTGAGCTAGAACTTGTCTCGAAGGGCTCCATTTCCTGCTAGTTCAGGTGGTAGATTAATAATAATCAATTCCAAAGGAAGGCAGCTTTCCCAGCTCAATTACATGTCAGCCACTGGTCCAGACAGCACCTGTGTTCATGCGCAAGCCTCAGGGAGACCAAACACACTGATAGGCAGGGGCCTGTTGGCCTAGTATTATTAGCACTGCTTACAGGACAGCCATCACCTGCGGGAAGCCATGTATATGGGTATAATCCTAAGTGTCCCCAAACACAAGGATATAAAAGAGTTTTCCCAGCAGCATCTACATGGTCATACTGAAAATAAGTTAAGGATTTATTCAGAAATTTTTATGATACCGTTGCTATTGGGGATACAGAAATAAAAGACATTGCTTTGCTCCGTTCATAATTTAGTATCTACTAAGCCCCAGATACTGTTCTTACTCTCAGGATGCCCTCTGTCTAGAAACGACAGGTGACGATAACCCTGTGTGATGAAGGCTGTGACAGAAAGAAACATGGATTGCTGTGGGAGAACAAGGGAGGGGAGATTAATCAATATATAGGGGTGACTGCTTGGTGAAAGCAATGCCCAAGCCAACTCTAGTCTGAGCAGTGGACTTGGAGAACAGGAAGACAGGCAGAGGGAGCAGCTTGCACAGAGACATAGGAATGCAGAGCGTGGCTCCTCTAGACACCAGGAGTGGTGGGAACTTGAGAAGAGAATGGACTTAGGTTGGTGATGTGGGTGAAGTGCCTAAGGAGAAGGATAGGAGTTGGATGAGGGGCAGTTCAGGGCCCCTGAGAATTTTCAGCACATCTTAAAACTGTCATTTTACAAGTCTCACTCTGGCAGTAGTGAGGAGGAGTGGCACTTGGTGTGAAAATAAAATGAATGGCCATGTTTCCTCAGTGCCCATTCTGTGAGAGATTCCTTTCTGAGCAATGGCTACAGCTATGAGCAAGACAGATACAAATTCCTGCCGTCGCGAAGCTCACTTTGTAGTGACAGGGTCAGGTAATGAGGACATGATTGAGCAGGGTATTTTGGAAAGTGATGAGTGCTTTAAAGACATTAAGATAAAGTGACCAAGATGATGTGCTGGTGACTTTTCTGGGGCAAAGGGGGACTACTTTAGGTCAAGGTGGTCTAAGAAGGCATCTCTGAGGTGGTGCCTTTTGAGCTGACATGAATGACATGAAGCTACAAGCCAGGCAAATGAAGTTCCAAGGGCAGAGGAAAGAGTAGATTCAAAGGCCCAGAGGCAGAAGCGTGCTTAGCACATCTGAGAAACAGGCCTAGGACCAGGGTGATGAAAATATGGTTGCGGAGGGGAGAGTAAGAGTGGTTAGAAGAGGTGAAGAGGGCCTCAGAGGCCAGATGTGCAGGGCCTGGTAGGCGTCATGATAGGCCTCGCTTATTCTAAGTGCAGCTGGCAGCCATCAGAGAGACAGAGTGTAATCTGATTTGCAGTGTGCTTGCAATGGAGGTACAAGGTGTAATGAATAGAAGCAGAGGACTAGAGGTATTGCAGTGGTCCAGGCAAGACATGGTAGCGGCTCGGACCAAAGTGGGAGCAGTGAAACCAGAGAGAAGCTGTTGGATTTGGCATCTGTTTTAAACTACTCATTTCCAAGCCTTTCTGTACCATCTCAGAGAGCTGTTTAAAAATACTGATGGCTGGGTTTCACCCTCAGAGACCACTATAATTGGCCTGGGGACAGGGCCCTGGGCATTTGAATGCGTTAGAGCCCCCACGTTTCCCTCACATTTCCCTCTCAAACCAGGCCTGAGAACGCAGTTCAGAACTGACAGAATGGAGAGAGATTGGAGAGTGTACTTTTCAAAGTCTTAGCCAGAGCAGCTTGGGGATCACTGGTGCCAGTTATTGATTAGGAAAGTCTGAGGAGAAATCAAGGCTTATGTTCAAGTCAAACTGCCACTAAAATTATGTGCAAGCAAAGACGCTAGCTGGGCAGTAAGCAGTCAGTCTGGAGCTGGTGGAGGATCAGGGTTGGAGAGAGAGTGTGGAGGTCGTTGGTTTCTAGAAGACATGTGAAAACAGGGAAGTGGATGTTGGGCAGTGGGAGGGGAGGCTTCTGCCCTGGCATTCCCACTGACCTCATACACATGGGCTCTTTACCCACCCGCATTGAAGTGTGCAGCCTCCTCTCCAGAGACCTTGGCCAACTGGCCCTTGCAGTGGATGCAGAAAAGCATGATTCTCACTATGATGTGTTGCTAGCTTCCAATCCCAAAGCAGTGAAAGGCACAGACTGTATCCTAAACCACAGTTAGCTTCCCAGAGGTGTATTTTGCTGGTAGCCCCAAAGAAAATGGGCCAAACAATGAAGAATTTACCAAATATCTACCATTAGTAAGGGAAGCAACTCAAAGCATGTTCTACAAATGTTCCCTATTTTAGGATCTTCATGCTACCACCTGCCTCTCCCCATCCCCAGCACATGACATCTCATGCAAAAGTGGGGCTGCAGAAATGGGAGCTCCTCAGGCACTGGAGGAGCACCCTGGGCTTCCAAGGAGCAGAGTTGGAAGCCCAGGTAATAAGCAGATCCATTAGGGGGATTCCTTATTGATGTTGCAGAGGAGTCTTTTTTAAGAAAGGGATCACTGCAGGGTTCTAAGGAGTTCCCTAATGGGATTATAATGTTTTATGTCTCAAGAATTCATGTTGCACATACTTTTTCAGAACAGTTTACATCCAGAGGCTTTAAGTAATGTATGCATTGTGTACCACTTTGATTTGTTATCATTACTAGTCAAATATATGTGTGTGTATATATATATATTCCCTCAAGCAGTTACTTTACCCCTTTCAGCTTTGAAATAATAATTCCAAGTGTAACATCTGAACACTTGGAACCACCATAGCCCTCTAAACCATTTATCAGTGATTTACTCCAATGTAGCAGTAGATAGGTCCACATAGAGCTTTAGCAGAAAAGGAAGGTGGGAAATGACTCACAGATATGTAAACAGCCTCCTTGGAGCTGAGACTGCCATTTGAGAAACAGGGCAAAAGGGACAGGTCTTGAAACAGGGAAGAGAATAAGTGGACAGAGGAACAGGTCAGGTGCCTCACTTGGCCAGCAGGCTGGCCTGGAGACGGCGTGGGTGTAGGCAGGAGCACAAGTCAGGCTGACCTTTGATCTCCTGACGCCCTCTCCTTGCCCACTCTGAGGTTGTGTAATGTCATCAAAGGAGCCTTCTGTGTTCCTAAAACACTTCAGACGTTTAGAAGTCTAGAATGGCTCCACGTGCCCTGAGGAGGCAGCCTCTTGAAGACAACCTGGACTCAGAAACCCTTATCTTCGTACCCTTCTCTCTCTCTTCCCCATTTCTCAGTTTCACTACCTTTTCTTTTCCAAATTCCTCATTCTGTGAGCTCCCTCAGGAATCCTAAGGGGCTTCTTTATTTCTGAGACAATGTCTGTCTCCCAGAAGATACTTAAACCTGACAGATACAGGTTGTTTCTTTTTGTCCCAGCTGCCAGGAAGCTCAAAGCCAAGTGTTACACAATCACAGTAATTGTATAAACCCTTATGATCAGCATATTTTTGCCACTCCTTATTTGGATCTTATTGTTTATTAACTTCATAAATTACTTCAAATCTGAGACTTGAGAAAAGAAGGAATATACAGTCATGTCACTTAATGATAGGGATGAGTTCTGAGAAATGCGTTGTTAGGCAATTTTATCATTGTGTAAAGATCATAGACTATATAAAGATCATAGATTGTATTTACACAAACCTAGATAGTACTACATCGTATGGAATAGCTTCTTGTTCCTAGGCTGCAAACCCGTGCAACATGTTACTGTACTGAATACTGACTATGGGCAACTGTAACACAATATTATTTGTATATCTAAACATGGAAAAGGTACGGTAAAAACATATTATTATAATTTTGAGGGATTCACCATTGACTGAAACATTATGATGTGCAAGAGTGGATTATAGTCAATTTAACCACACTGTTAAGGAAAAGAAAATTTGTCTGTCTTCCTGCTCCCCAACCCCCAATTCCTTTTGAATCCCACTCTGTGAACACCTTGCCATAAACATAACCTCCATGACTTCTTAGACCACTACAGGCCACTAATTTTCATTTCAGCTGCCCATA